CTCTTCCTAGATGGAATGAATAGTAAAGAATAAATCAGAGGATTTTGGGGGAAGAATAAGCTGAAAGGAATGGATAACAATAGGGATTGTAGGTGTAACAGACTGCCAATGTGGGCTTACCAGATTGGCTAGAGATACTTACCTTGGGCTAGAAACAGTGCCAGTGAACTCTGAGCGACCCCAAGAGTGGAGCAGGGGAGCACTGCCCTGTGGAAAAGGAGAAGCCAATCAAAAGAAGTGGTTTTCAATCCCCTCATTCGTGTGGAAGGGGGATGGCTGGAGTTGGAGGCCAGACACCCTGACCACTGGTTGGCCAGTTTGCAAGCCAAGGAGGGACTGCCAGAGGGGATAAAAGCAGCAGTCGAACTGGCGTGGGGGGCTGCTGACAGTGACTCCGGGGAATGATGCAGGAGGCCCGAGAAGAGTTGGGGTGAGCTGACCCAGCAGAGGGAGCAGACAGACCCCTCTGAAGAGCCTCAAAGGTCCTAGGAGAAGAAGGAAGCAGCAGTCGGCCATGCCTCCAGCCCTGCAGCAGAGAGGGAGCAGCGGCCAGTGCTTGGGGCAGAGAGCTGGTGCCCCAAGGCCCCATTGCAGTGTGCTGGACATGCCAGGCATCCCAGAGGCTAGGGGTGGCAGTTGGCCCCCCACTGCACTGGGGAGAAGAATCAGCGGCCAGGAGCGCAGGCAGAATCCTTATCCGGAGCAGGGAGCTGGGCCGGTGAGTTAAGGAAACCCCTTACCTTCCCTGGGGAAGTGGGACAGCAGCAGGCAAGGCATTGGGATCCTGAGAAGCAGCACAGTGCCAGTATAAGGGTCCCCAGGAGGTGGGGCGCAGGCCGGTGCTCAGAGTGGGATTGGCGATCAAAGGATCCCAGCAAGATTAGCATCCAAATTTATCTTGAAGGTGTTCAATGTAGGTGCTTGAACCACCTCCGATGGCAGGCTATTCCAGACCTTGGGGGCTCGGACAGTAAAGAAGTTCTTCCTTATGTCCAGCCTGAAACGGTCTTGCAGGAGTTTATAACCGTTCGACCTCATCATCCCTTGGGGCGCTCTGGTGAACAAACATTCCTCCAGATACTGGGGGTCACCCCTGATAAACTTATAGGTGGCCATCAGATCACCCCTGAGCCTGCACTTTTCCAGGCTAAAGAGCCCCATAACTCTAAGCCTGTGGTCGTAAGGTCTGTTTTCCTGACCTCTGATCATGTGCGTGGCTCTTCTCTGGACTCTCTCAAGCTTCTCCACGTCATTTTTGAATTGTGGAGCCCAAAACTGGGTGGAGTACTCCAGGTGCGGCCTCACCAAGGCCGAGTACAAGGGGAGAATGACATCCTGGGATTTGTTTGAGAAGCATCTATGGATACAAGCAAGCATTTTGCTCACTTTACTAGCCACAGCATCACATTGAAGGCTCATGTTCATCTTGTGGTCAATCATGACCCCCAAGTCTCTTTCTTCCATAGTGCTAGCCAGCGTAGCACTGCTGAGTCTATAAAGATGCTGCAGGTTTTTCCTCCCAAGGTGGAGAACCTTACATTTTTCAGTATTAAACACCATCAGGTTCTCGTCCACCCATTTGCTGAGCCTGTCCAGGTCAGCCTGGATCGCCCTCCTGTTTTTAGGTGTGGATGCTTTTCCCCAGAGTTTGGTGTCATCGGCGAACTTGGCCAGTCTGCTTCTGACACCAATGTCCACATCATTAATAAACATGTTGAACAATATGGGTCCAAGGACAGAGCCTTGGAGGACCCCACTGGTCACAGGGCACCATGACAATTGACTTCCGTCAATTACCACCTAATGCATTCTGGTTTGTTTTGTGATTCTGGTTATGCCATTTAAATTCACTTGTAAATAACCTTTCTTAATATTCTTGTTTTGTAAATAAAGTGTAAATAGTTAAATCAGTTAAGTACTAGACCTTCTTGGGACCATGGACTGCTCTGTGGGGAGCAGAAGTCGTCTGGAAAGTATATTGGTGTTGCCCGGAAGCCCTGCCCAAATCTCACTACACCATCCCTGATATTGGGCAGGGGTGGCAACTACTGGGCCACCACCTGGGTTACATAGGTAAGGGTAAGTCAGAAAGTATTGGGTAGACGTTGGTGGCAAGAGACTACCTACTACCAAGCCAGAGCCCTTCGTACGCTTCGGCTGCAATGGAGGGACAGACAGCTCACAGAAGGCACACAGATGAGTTTACACACAGCCTTTTATGTTGTTTCTACATCCCTCCCCCAGAGGACTGTGATTAGAAGGGAACTCAGAGAAAGATCACAGTCACTGGCCATCTACAGCTTTCAATATCAGAGAAGTCTCCTCCCCCCACCTTCCCTCTTCTCAGTTTCTGTATCCTGCATGTCTGCCTTCTGAATAGATTCTGAGGCTTTGATTTGATTCAGAGCTTTTAATGGGTCTCTTGGTTAGATTTAGATTCAGAGATTCATCCACCGAATTGGGCCAAATCTCCTCCAAACTGAATCAGCTACTGAAGCTTTGCATAGCCCTATTAGCCACAACATATAGTATATCAGTCTCAGGAATGGTTGTTTCTGTCTGATGATACAGGGCCTCCTAGGAACAACAGAAGTGGTTATGACAGCTTTAGTGCTACATCACTTTCTTCAGTGACTCTACTTTTAGTAAGTATATACAAGTGGAAAAACCTGTTTCAGGGGAGAGGGTTAAGATATTTAGTGCAACTTGCTACTTACTAGGACAAATTCTCAGCTTGTAGTCAGTTACTGAAGTTAGAAGAACTATGCTGATTTATAGCGGTTGAGGATCTGGCCTGATCTCAGTAAGTGATTTGTTGAAATAATAACCCATCTCCTATTATCCTAAAGGACGTGTAGAATTTGAGGTTATGCAATTGCTACAGAAAGAACAAATATTTCAAAAAGCCATATTATGCTCTCATTTCATACTGAGCCATGAACTGTCCCCTAATATGTCTTCTCTTATTTATTTCTACGGTTTTATAATCTGGGCTAGGAACAGAAGATACACATAAAGTGGTATAAGCAATTGGAAACAATTTCAAATCTGTAACACAACAAAGTTCAGGGCATATAAACCACTTTCAAAATGGCCAAAATCAGTTTAAGATAAACCTGGATGGACGTATATCAGACTTCCCTAATTTAGGTTAAATCCATTTATTGACATTCTGTCCCAGATCCCCTCCAGATTCAAGTTAACTAAGTCCCCCAGCATCCTAGGATGCAGGGCTGACCCTAGTGGGGTGCAGGTCCTGCTTAACACTGCTGTGGGCCTGTGGGATCCCTACAAAGGCAGGGCACAGGCTGGGGCCTCCCATGCACCCAGGGGAGTGGGGAAGGTCTCTATGCTTCTTCTGCAGTGTGTGGCAGAGCCACCAGCACCAGGCGAGTCCTGTGGAAGGGACCACAGCTGCTCCACATGGCTCCATGGGGCCCCTCAAAGCATGGGGCCTGGGGCTGTTGGCCCAATTCACCATACCCTATAGACAGCCCTGCCAGGATGCTTTGTGCTTCCCCTATAAGACCCTTCTCTCAGGGTGCACAGGCTAGTCTTGTTTCCACCTGTCTGCTTCAGCTAAGCAGGGAGGTGTGCTCTAGCACTATCCTGGCTTCTGGCCTGGGCCATTTCTGGAATCAAAAGAGTATCTCTGTTCACTTGCTTGTTGGTTCAATCTATGCAATTTAGATTAAGGTACAAAGATTGAATCAATTCAGCCTCAGGCTTTTTGACAGTTTGTACTTAGCCTTCGAGTTGTTGTTTTTTTTAAATGAACTACAGCTGTCTACAGTATGATTCTGCATTTGTTTGTGGGACAGCTCAAAAAAAACACAAAAAAACCCAAACTATCAGGCATAATTTGCAGGACATTAAAGTTGCAATTCAATGAGATAATTGCTAGGAAAGAGTTACTGAAAAGTTAGCCCTGTGAAACACTTCTCAAAACAAAAAAACTAACAAAAAACAACCTCTGCTCCCCCTGCCCCTAGAATGTTCTGGGCCAGTATACTATATTCTATGTACTAACCAGTCTAGCAGTGACCAAATCATCTAGCTTCATAGGACCGATGAGTGACACAGGGCTATTCTTCAGACCCAATCCAGTGTGGTGGGGGTTGAATCTCAGGCCTGCTCCAGCAAGTAGGGTTGCATTAGCCATCCTATGGGGTTTTCTATAAGCTTGAGTATTTACTGGCAGGGGAGATCAATGGACATATGAACACGTTGTCCCTCTAATTTGACTGGAGTTCTTGCTTTGCATGTAGCTGTAACTACTCAGGGGCTTTTTTCTTTGATGCTTATTTGCAGTGATGCAGAAGCAATGAAGTGAGTTTGAAACACTAATGCATGCTATAGACCCATATCTGTACTCTGTTTTGGCAAAACTTCCATTAGTTTCAACAGGAGTTTTATCCAACTGAGAAGTGCTGACCAAGAGCCTAATATTTATTCCCAGAAAGTTTGTCACATATTGCTGTTTAAAGTTACAGCTGAAGCTGCTGCTCAGCAGTTATTGGATTGGCATCTCATACCTACTTTCTTAAATAAAGAAAGCAGTGGACAAAGCACCAATTCTATTAATAGGAGGTATCATTTCTTTCAGTAAGTAGGCATCACACAATTGCTAAGCTTCTACAAAGACTATTTCCTGACCTGTGACACTGAATCTTAATATTGCAACAGTTACCATGAAAACTCTAGAAGCTTGTTTTTCATGCTGCCTTCTTATCAGGTATCATTAAAGAATTTTCTTTGATTTTAGGAATATGTAACTTTTGAAATGATTTCTGGCTACAATTGTAGTTTGAAATGCCTTGGGTTTTTATTTCTTTATCATTTTCTACCTGTTTAAATATTTTTTATAATGTTAGTGCAACAAAACTAGGGCAGCCTGAGAGTGAAAGAAACATGGACAAAGGATTTAATAGAAGACTGTTAAGCTACCAGACAGAATAAGTCGATGAGTGTCCCTTCATTATCTTGTGGAAGTTCATGTATCATTCAGAGAAGCACAATGGAGCTCCACCACTGGAGAATGGAACTCTCTTATAATGCAAAAATCAAAGTACCATTAAAGTGGAAGACTGACGACACAGAAAACTCAAAATTCTGAAAACTCATTATTTTAAAATAGACCCATTTCAGTTGAAAACATCCCTCATCACAAAACAACTTCATTGCTATAATGGCTATCATAACCCCATTATGTGTTGGGGGTTCATGGCATATCATAATTGTTTTCTTGTATTTTATTGTATGGCTATGGCATATGTGGCCTCACTAAAAAGCCTGTGTTATTCTGTATCTATTTATGCTATTGTTATCACTGTATGGATTATGTTATGCTGGCTACATAGATCTTTAGTTTGGATTTAGCTAGGAAACTCAGAGTGAGCAGAACTTCTAGTTGTCACTTGCCATTGCATTCTAGGGCCAGGACAATTGCTACTTACACTAACAGACAGAAGGAGCCACTCATGGGATGCACAACCCAGGGCAGTAAGTGCTAGCAATTGAGAAATCAGTTCTACAATAGGAAAGGATCCAAAAGCAGTGGCCCATCAAGCTAGAGGAATACCAAGGAGACCAGAACTTTTTGGAGAGTTCTACTGACTCATACATCTTAGAATAGCAGAGGACTTTCTGTGTCTGGTTATTTTTTTTTAATTTGAAATATAATCAAGCTTTGGATTTTTACTGACCCCAGTTACAGGACTGGTACAGTCAGCA